CACACACACAAACACACACACACACACACACACACACACACACACACACACACACACACACACACACACACACACACACACACACACACACTAACACACACACACACACACACACACACACACACACACACACACACACACACACACACACACACACACACACTCACACACACCCACACACACACACACACACACACACACACACACACACACACACACACACACACACACACACACACACACACACACACACACACACACACAACACAAACACACACACACACACACACACACACACACACACACACACACACACACACACACACACACACACACACACACACCCACACACTCACTCACACACACACACACACACACACACACACACACACACACACACACACACACACACACACACACACACACACACACATCAAAAAACACACACACACACACACCCACCATCATCATCATCATCATCATCATCATCATGAAGCAACAAATACCAACCAATTGCTTCTTTCAAATCAACCCAACATGGCACCACATCACAAATCTGAAACACAAACAAACCATTCGCTTTTGGTTTCCTTCTCGCAATGTCACACATTTCTGACTTTCAGTTGAACAGGTCTGTCTCAATAGAACCTCCCCTTCTTGGATGGTTTTAATGAACACTAGGAAACCATTTGAGAAACATCCGAAACAAGATTTCACTGTCCTTTCCGAGTTTTTTGGTTTCCTGTTTGGCAAATCACAAGTTACCCTCCTGTTTGCTACCATGGAACCTGCCTGAGGGGTCCTGGAGGCCAAGCTCCCTTTAAGCCGGCCCCATTTGGACAGGAGGCTTCGTTTTCCTCTGCTGGAAAAGGGGATACCGCTGCGCCGCTCCCCCTGAAGACCGCTGGGCCCATCCGAAACCGAAGCCGAAGCCGAGGCGCGATGAGGCTGAGGTCCGGCGCGCTCACGCGGTCCGGCCAACAGACCTCGGTGGTGACCTCCATCAAAGGCGCCGGCATGAGGTCGAACTCCAAGCCCCCCACGAAGGCCAGGACCTTGACTCGACACCCGGACCGAAGGGGGACAATCCACGGAGGGCTGCCGTTTTTTTTTTGGTGGATGGGTCATGGCACAAAACGGCTAGAGGCTTTAGATGCCACTCTTTTTTGTAGACCTGAGAGGGCTTCCGGACTTGCGAAATCTCAAGAATCCACTGGTTTGCTTGCGGCTTCCTGCTTTCCTGAAACACGGGAGGGTGATCAGGGGCCAGCAAAGAACACCTTTTGGTTTCCCAAAGAAACAACGGGCTGCGGGAGGCGCCAAAAGGCTTTTGTTGAGGCATGGGCTCTTGAAGGATTTCTCAAGGAACCGATGCTTCGTTTTGGATTCCCTTGCTGGAGGGTTTGCTTCTTCCCTCAAACAACAACACGGTCGGGTATTTTTTAGGGGTAACGGGTTTTATCTAGGAGGGCATCGCCAAGTTCCTGGAAGACGTGCTTCTTGTTGAGCCGGGCGGCAGGCTGGGCGGACATGCTGTACGAGATCGCCACGCACTTCTCGATGACGGACTCGTAGGTATAGAAGGAGTAGCCCTCCCATTTGCCGGGGTTGTCCTTGGCCCATTGGTTATCACCTCGGCCGAGAGATCTTGATTTTGAACATGCCAAGGTGTGTGAGCCCAGTGATGCGGCCGTGGGCAAACAGGCGCCTTTCTTGGTAGTTAATATCAAAAAACCCCTTTGCAAAAAGAAACAGCCCCAGAGGTCTGGGTTTCAAAGTAGACAATTGGCACACCTTTCGGCGTGCCTGGAAAGTAGACCCAAAGAGACAACCTGAAACCTCCTTTCTGGTCGATTCGCGAAGGGCAACTCTGTTCGCATGCCAACAGAAAACCGACTCGTCTTCCGGTCGCCCCATCAAACATCCAAGCCTAGGTGTCCGTGTTGATAAATGGACTGGTACATGGTTAAAGCCACCCTGCGTCATCGGAATCAACGTAAATCCTGAAGCCAGATCCATCAAAGTGACAGGCTGAAACAAGTTACCCTAAATGGGTGAAAGATAAAAAAAACACCCCAAATATTTTTCGGGAATCCAACTTAAAGTGGCCATGGGTCAAAGCCCCGTACCTCCAGTGAACATCCCAATCCCCGCTAAAATAGACTAACATGGGTGGTGCACCTATCCCAAAATGGTACCATTGGTTTTGAACCATGGTCAAATGTCTTGGACCACAATGGTCGCAGAATCCAAGGCGCAGGGCACACCCCACGGCTCCAACTTCACAAAGTCCGGGCTGTCCTCGGGGCTGCAAATGCCGGGAGGCGGGAGTGGAGTAGGGCATGATCTTGGATACCCCAGAAAGTGTTGAAGCCCACAGAGCGACAGCTCACATGTCGCCGCCGCAGGGGAACACATGCTCAAGGCTAGAGTGAAGGAAAAGGCGCGGATCAGAGAGAATCTCGAGAAAGTGTGCCCTTTTGCCCCTGTGAAGGATTGACAGTGGAACTCAGATTTCACTGGAAGAAACAGTGAAGCCTGTGGAAGACCATTTTGAGTGGGGAACCACAACAGAAAAGGGCAAGGGGCGCCACTGTGCGTGCGCCTTGAGGCCTGCTCAAAAAGCAAGGCTTCTGATTTACAACCTCGGTGCCTATTATGTTTCCTGGTGCATGACCCCCCTGCTTTTGAACAATGCACACCGTGTCCGCTTGCTGTGATACCATGGCTCATGCCGACTTTGGCAGGGGCCACAACCAAGGGCTTGGAGCCTCAGGGTTGCTGCTACTGACGATAAACAAAGGCTGGGATTTCCGGAAAAGACATCAGCCACGCTTTGCTTCTTGCCACTCATATGGTTTTGTGAAAGAAATAGTATGAAGTCCAGAAACTTAGGACCTAGGATTGCTGATGTGTAGCTGGTAGGGCTTCAAGCTTGTGACACTGGCCAGCCAGGCCCAATGAAGCCCTCGACCAATGAACCCCAGCCACAGCCTGACTGAACAAAGCGACCCTTCCCGGGCCCAGGAAGAAGCCCTTGCCACAGGGAGGCCGTTTTGAACCAACTTGGGAAGCACAAAATGAACACCACGAATACATGGCCAGTCAACTTCCAACAATAGCACTTTCACCGCAAAAGGGAAAACTGGGTCTCCAAATCCCTTCAAAGACCACCAGTCACCAAAAGGAAAAACATGTTCTGACATCGCTGCAAAAGAGGTGGATGTTGGGGGGCTAAATCTCTTCACCAAAGGAACACCCTTTTTTACATATCCCCAAAGCCGGGTGGATGGTGGCCCTTGAGACGCTCGTTCTCGAGCCGAGGCGCGGGGCTGGGCACCTGCCAGTCCCTCATCGTGACTCCGCCGTTGGCCCCGGTGCGGTGCGCCGGCGCGAAGGCCAGGCAGGAGGCTCGGCGTTTTTCGAGGTGCGGCTGGTTTGTGGTGGGGTGTGCCTGTTTTGGGCTACTAGTGTTTTTTGTTTTGGGGGGGGGGGGGCAGCACCTTTTTTTGCTTGATTCAATTTTGGGGTGGAACCGTTTTTGGAGGGTTGGGGCCGTGCGTGGTTTGTAAGCGGTTTGATTGATGGTTTGGACGGGTTTAAGGGTGTGTGTCAATTTGAATAAGGATTGAGGGCTCGTGGTGGTTTACTGGTATTTGCACAAATCGTGTTGGACCAGTTTCTTATTGGTTTGTGTCAGTTTGATGTATGCAACGACATATTGGGCCGCGTTCTTTGGTGGGTAGCGGTCCCTCTGGTGGTGTCCGTTTGAGGATTGTAAAAGGAACCCCAGCATGCCTCCTTTGCGCAGGCGCTCCTTTTTTTGGGCCCTGTCACACTCCATGGTTACGCACTTTTGGGGCGACCTGCTCCTTGCCGAGCTGTCCTTCGCTTTCAGGTGAGGGATTCATCTAAGCCTGCTCCCCAACGAAATGATCAATATGAACCCAGGCACTGGACGATTTTCCTTCGCAGGGACCGCGGCTTCGCAACATGCTGCGCCGATGCGGCGTCCTAAATTTGGGCCAGTTCTGGTTGCTTGCTGAAGCAAGGTGTATCCACACATTGGGAACTCCAAAAAAGTGGTTTGTGTTTTTGGCTTCCCTTTCAACGCCATCGGCTCCCATTGGTCAGGCCCAGAACTGAATGGACACCGCATTTCGCCAATTTTTCCGGCCATGAAAAAGCTCACCTTGTGGAACACTGAGTCAAACCAGCTGGCAAAAAAAAGGTCTGTGATGCGGTCCATTCGCTTTGGTGGCGAGGCAGTCCAACGAGAATGGCCTTGTCTCAACATTCGGGTATTCTGCCCGAACCCCTTCCTCCCCTATTCCCCCGAAATAAGCAGCTGGGCCTTAGGAACACGCAGCAGTGGAGAAACGGCCATGGGTCAAAATCCTGTTACCCTAGTGAACATCCCAATCCAACCACTAAAAAAAATGGGTGGTGAATTCACCTACCAACCAGAATGGGAATCCAAAACGGTTTTGACCACAGCCAATTTTGGAGGACAGAACCGCTTTCGAGGGGCCTGAGTCATACTCGTCGCCACCGAACTGCGTGATGAGCATCGAGGCATAGGGCATCGCCTTCGCATAGGACACCCCGCGCTTGGGTCCCCAAGGAAGATGGGGGTGTCTTAACATAGGGAACCCACCCCAAAATGGTGGGTGTCCTTTTTTGGTTCCCTTCAAACCAACCCCAAAACGGGGGAACCACCAAAAAAAGACACACCCTTATGGGAAACTGGGTCTTCCGAGGCTTGGCCATGCCTATATCCTGAACACTCCGAAGGCAATCCGCAAGATCCTTCCATTTTGTTGCACAAGAACTCGGACTTTTTCCGCGGTGTCCCACTTAAGGCTTTATACAAACGGGCATCCCACCTGTCGCTTTCGTGGCGCGCCATGGGCCATGGCCGCCTCCTGTTTTGGGCGGTGTGTGCTTTGTATTCCCTTGAACCACCTCCAAAAGATACCCACAACCAGCCCACCCACCAAGCCAACCATCGAACGAACAAGAATAACGAAAACAAACAAGCACAAAGAGAAATACACAACAAACGCAAACAACACACACACAACCACACAAACAAACAAACGAACCCACACACACACACAATCAAGCTCACTAAGCGATCCAAGCCACACCAAACCCAACAACCAAGCAACCAAGCAAGCACGCAAGCAAGCAAGCACGCAAGCAAGCAACCACGCAAGCAAGCAAACAGGCAGCCAGGCAGGCAGGCAAGCAGGCGGGCAAGCAAGAACACAACAGAACAACACAAAACAAAAGGGACAAACAAACAAACCCACTGGTACAACTCGATGACTCGATTCGACAGAGACGCCTCTGTGGTTCCAAAACCAATTGCGCCCTCGCCCACCACGGTGTCCGGCTCTTCCTTTGCCTGAGGCTCACTGGGAGCCCATGCTTGAGCCCAAGCGTCCATTTGCTTGAGTCCTCTGAAAATTCAGATTACTTGTGGTGATAGATTCCCTTTTTTAGCCAACAGGGGGAAATCAGGGTTGGTTTCTCAAAGTGATGGATATGTGCCTCGGACCTTAAGGGTTCCAGTTGCCAGACGAACCCTTTGTCGCCCATGTGGTCTCGAAGAAACACGGATGGGGGTTCTGGGCAAAGACCTGGCTGTGACTTTGCATTACGCGACCCCCATATTTTTTGCGACCAGATTCATATGTCACCAATCACCTTGAGGCGAACTTGGCCTTTCCAACAAAACACCACGACTGGAATACAGGGACGGTGAACGCCGGAGAATGCTGAAAACAGCCACCAAACTTTTTGTTTGCCACTACATGTCCATAAATCGAAGGAACCACACTTTTTGTTTGACCAAGCCCAAACGTTTTGCCACTTGTTGCCTTAAAGCGTCTAAGACGTGAGTTCATGGTCCCAAGTTCCAACTCGGGGAGGGTGAACGCCGCCAGCGAGAATCGGAGGTGGGTGTGGGAATGGCCTGGACCTGAAACCAGTTTGCGCCAACCCCCCCCCCAAGTGGAACGGCCGGCCTTTGCCGCTGTGCGCTCGGCCTTCGTCTGTGCCAAGGAGGAGCGCCTGAGTCTGCGCAAATCTGGGGGAAGTCCACTTGCCCGGTTGCTTCCCAAAGGAAACAGCATGGATGAGTAGGGGAAGCCCCTGTGTTGGAAGAGCGGGGCGGGGTTGGCAGATTCTATCGCCTGGGTGCAGCAAGAAGTGGGTTCCAGGCGAACTCTGCGGCGGAATGGCTTTCCAATCAGCCCCTTGTGATTTGGCCTCATGGAAGGCACAAGCGATGTGTGGTTTCGGTGGGACAATCCCCCATTTGGTCTTTTCAAGGGCCGAGAAAACCATAGGGCCGTCCGAGAAATGAGAAGTCAGACAGGGCCATTTTCTCCCCCTTCGATCTCCACCAAACTTAACGCCTCACTTGAACTCGGCCTTTCCGCGAGGTGACATTTACGTATCACCATAGGACATCTTGTTCCGGAAACTCGCCAAATCCGAAAAAGAACACACCGGAAAGCCCCCAATTCATATGGGTTGGCCGTTTTGAAGGATGTGCTTTGCTTTTGAATGGTGTTGAAGCGGCAGCACAACAGCCTGAAGCTGAAGGACTTCGTCCCTGCATCTTTAAAAACAGGCTTTCCCAAACTATCCCCACATTTTTTTCCTTCGAGCCATCCCAAAACAGAAAACACTCAACAATGCACAGAAGCCCCCAAGAGAGCAGGCGTTTGCCCCAAAGGACATGGGAAATTGGGTTGTCCCAAGCCAACGGCAGGCCCACCGAACTGAGGGGCTACCCAAAACTACCCAACCTGAACTGACGGCCCACCCAAACCTGATCCACAAATGGGCTTGTTTGCACGTGTTGTTTTTTGAGAGTATCTTTTTGGGCTTCGTTGAGGGAAACCAACAGCAACTCACCCCTAAACTTTGGGGGTCCAAATCCCCGTCTTGACACATTCTGAACAACTGGGAGTGTTCAAATTGTGCGCGTGTGTGTTTTTTGTTCTTCAAACAATTCCCATAAAATCTGGGTGAATTATCATATTTCACCAACCTGAAGCTTGCGGTGGTTGGGGGGCTATTCCCCACATACACCACCATTTGGGGTGAATTCGGTCGTGTGAGGTCGTTATAATTCACCCAGGAGCCAAGGACCCACCCAAAATCGACTAGGTCCTCCAGAGGAGAGGATAGACTAAGAGTACCCTTTTTCAGTCGTCTATTTCAGGGGGCAACTAAAAAAGTTGGGAGAGAAGGGCACGACTCGCTGGGGGACCTCGTCGACATATTGTGCATCCAGGCGGCTTGTTGTGGATCACCTTGCGCGAGGTCTCCTGGCGTCGCACGTGCGACACCAGGCCGCGGCGGCTGCTCACCAGGCGCGGGGCCTCAGAAGCCGATGGGAGAGGTCCGGTGAAACGGGAGCTCCAAGCATTTTTTTCCCCCGCTTTTTTTCTTCTTTCTCTTTTTTGTTCTTTTCCGCAAGCAAGTGGGTAGATTGGCTGGGGTTACGCCGGGTTTTAGTCTTTGGCTCCACGTACCAAGGTGCCATTTTGATACCACTGTTTTTGAGCCACAGCCATCTAATTTCAACCCTTTTCTCGTTGGCAAGCGGGTAAATTGGTTTAAGTGGCCAGTTGACAGAATCATCCTTGTTTTTACCTCAGGATTTTCACCTAAGTTTGAGTGAAGCCATTAAAGCCTAAAGAGAAGATCGCAGTTGTTTTTTGGAGGGCACGGCCGCGGTGCAGTCAAGGCCAAACCCAGTATATGCCTGGGAGAGGGGCAGTCAACCTGTGGCGGTTGCTGCCTTTCCAGCTGATTTTGTAAACAGGATGCCGCCTTTCTTGCTAGTGGTTGGGTCCGGAACAACTGCGCAAGTGAGGTTTAGGCTCACAAGTGAGTTTTTTTTTGCTCAAAGGGAAGCCTCAAATCAAAATGAGCTGCTTGCCTTGGTTTGCCAAATAAAAATCTTGGCTAACCCCAAAAAAGAGGTACATGCACCATGGGTACCCTCAAGTCAGACACGTCTTGAGCTGCACCTGTCCGCAAAACTCCCCCAGTGCCATGAACATTGCTATGGGGTAAAGCATGAGGTTTGGGCCATCTAAAGCCACCCCCTCTCCAAGCAAGTACCCTGAAAGAGAAACTTCGAGCCCTCCAGTCGCCACAGCCTGCCCATCGAGATCAAGATCGAGCTGCATCGCCTTTGGCTGGGAACTGCGAGAGGCTTGCAGCTTCCTGGCAGGGAAGACATCGCCTCTGTGCTGGTTGAGTGGGATTCGAATCCGTGGCTACTTCACTCGAGACAGGATTCCCTGGCACAAAGTGGCAACTACAAATTCCACCCTGATTCAGGGCAATGTAGAACCAACCAAATAAAATCAACCAAATGCAAATAAATAAGGGAACCAACCAAATTGATACAATTCCCAAGCAAATAAAGGGAAACCTTGTCAAGAACCTTCATGGCTCGGCTCGCGAAGGTCAGGTGTCGGCAGATCATTTCTCCACATCAGCCAGCAATCCCCAGTGAGGTTCCATGGCAACTCGAGGAGTGGTTTTGGGGGTTACGCCCGTCAGATTTGTCAAGTTACAATTCAAACACACACACACACACACACAAAGACACACCAACACAGACAAATGGGGTTTGTCTTTGCTTTGGGAACCCTCTTTGGTTGGAGGAACACCGAAGCCATATTTGGGGGTCCCCCGATTTTGACACACATCCACATAAACCGGCAAAGAAGGAGGCCGCAAATAAAATCCCGCGACCAACTTCAGGTCCATGGTTTCCTTTTCCCGGCCACGAACAGAGCGTGTCTATTGACGGAACCCTCTTTGGGCTGCTTTTGAAGGGAAGCCAAGGAAAATCCACTTGTCGGGGGTTATTACAAGGCAAACCTATATCCAAAACGGGTGGGGGGGGGGGGCTCAAGTTAAGAACAGAACCAAGTTCTGCGACATTCATAAGGAAGGTGCTTGCGGGAGGTTGCCTTTGCACCACTTAAAGGTAGCCGAACCACTTGCTCAAATGGCCAATAGGAATTGGTGTAAGCTCAACTGGGATCCATTCAAAAATGCCACAAGCGATGGTATGGGCCATCTGCGGTTCGGTTGGGCTTGGACCATTCCCCAAAAAGCAGAGCGGGTACTCTTCAACAGCCCCCGAAGTCCTGGAAACCTTTCTGAACCCTTCCGGAAAGCTCCCCCAAACCACCCGATCGAGGCTATCTGGGCCTATCGACCAAATCCAAAACGCTTTCAACTGTTGGGGAAACACCCTTAGGCCGTGAATGGACTCTTGAAGATAAGGGGTAAGGATCTTCATGAGGCTTCCAACACCACTGAAGAGATACAACCAGCTTCGGCCAATGGAATTGCTACGAATTTAGACCAACACAAGCGCCTTTAGTACTGGCTGGGGGCTGACCAGTTCTCTGCGAAAGAATCCGAACAACCAAAAAACACCAAAGACACACAACCAACCAATACTAGGTCCTCCAGTAGACAAGTTAGAATAAGGGTACCGTTCCTTTTTTTCTCTAGTCTACTTTAATAGGGGAACCCTACCCCAAAAAAGTTGGGAGAGAAAGGGCACCTAGCTGGGGGACCTAGTATTAAAAAGGGGGGTGCTTCGCCTCAGTGATGATTCCCCACCAAACCCAGAAACACCCCTCTGTGAAGAAACCAAAAAACAACAAAAAAAAACCCAAAGCCACAACCAACCAACTGCCAACACCACCTTCGCGGAAGGCATTCTCCACATCGCGCCTGCACCATGGAGGTGGTCTCCCCGATGGCCCCCGTGATGGCGGCGGAGGCCATCTCTGCGAAGAAGGCCAGGAACTCCGAGAGCATCCTGCGGTTGAAATCACCAGGGGGCCGTGGCAAAACTTTTTGGAAAGATAGGGTTGGGTTTTCCTGGGAAATGGAATGACAAAAAAAGCTACACCAGTGCCATCTAATTTTGGAAAGATCAGTATAGGTCAAAATAAAACCACCAGGATATATATATATATATATATATATATGGACCGCAGGTTTTAGTCCTTGGTTCCATTTACCAGGGTTTTATTTTGGCTACCTATTTTTGACCCACAGCCAGATAGACGGGTTTTCCTGGTAAATGGAATGACACCAATCTACACCAGCGCCATCTAGTTCTTGGCGGCCGTGGGGTTCTGGACATGGTGAAAAGCAGTTGTTGGGGGGTGGTAGGGATCAACATTCAAGGGGTAACATATGAAGAAGGGGTAAATAGAAGGAAAACACGCAAATCAATATGGTCCATGGCACTAAATATAAGATATGTTCCCGGACCATGGGAAAAAGGGGCACCTAGAGCCTGGAACATTTTCAATCACAAATATAAGGGGGTAACTATTTATGTCCACCATGAAGAGGATTATGTCGAGGGTGTGACTTCCTCGGCAGAAACAACGCCTTCCACTAGAAATCCCAATTGCTGCTCGTTGAGGACGGTTGCATTGAGGCGATCCTTCTCTTTGTCCAAGTGACAAGTGGGTGGGACAAACATAAGACGTGTGCGGTATTCTAGGGTGTCCTTGTTGGATTGGTTCAAACGGGAATTGAAAGGACCCCCTCCCATTTTGGAGGGTCCCCCATATTTTGGGACGCTGTTTCTCAGGTTTGCCTAATCCAACTACAAGGTAGTTCAACATTTGGAGTAACTGCAAGGGCTAAATACTTACACACATCATTTCTTACAACTATGACTGTGGCTTTAAAGTACCCCGCAACCGCATTCCAATTATTTGGGCTCCTGTACGCCCCGCGTTTCAGGGGTGCTTAGATTCGCCATCTGAACATTTACCCGAATGGCGTTTTCCTTTTGGATTGGTAAACGCATCTTTGAAGAGTGCTTCTGTTTCGTGGGTACATCAGCTCCTGCTTTCAGGGCGCAACAGGAGACTCCCGGAAGGGGTTCGTGAGCTGGCCACTGGTTCCTATCCAAGGCTCCATTTTTCGAGCAAGCCGGAGGACTGAAGACTTCAACAGCTATCTTCCTTCTTCGGCCAAAGTCAAGCAGGTGGTGGACTAAAACCTGCACACCTTAAGGTGGCCAGGACCATCAGGTTCACGGTCAGCTTCGCGAGAACAGAAGGGACCCGAGACAGGTGAGGGATCGGCTCGGTCGTGTGATTCTTGAAGCGATCCCTACATCGGACGGCAACCGTGAATTCATATGGAAGCGAGTTTAGGCTTTGAGGGATCTTCCATGTTTTGGGGATAGGAAGGGTGGTTGCCCCTTTTGTTTGGGGCTTCCGCTGGAATGTTCAGCCCGCTAAGCTGGCTTTCTTGAAGGGAAAAGCAAACACTGCTATCTAGCCAGATTTCAAACGACTTTTGGCCTTCCCTTTTCAAAACGGCCTTTCTAATCACCCCTCCTGAACCGCAACTTTGGATTTTGCTTTGAGCCAAGCATCGATGAGAGCTGCGTGAGGATGCTGAAAGGCGGAACCACCTGCATAGCGCACCCATTGAACTGTCAAGGCACTCAGTGCTTCAGTGGCAGAAGCATCGCGCCAGGAAACCAGTGTCCTTTGAGTGAAAGATTTGTTCAAGGCAATCCAAGGACCACCCTACACCTTTGGTGGGAAACCGTTTCCAAACATCTTCCAAACGAGAACCCTAGCTCAAGTCCCATCCTAATCAGTGGACAGCAAAGTGATCAGCTCACCTGCAGCTTCCTTAAATTTGACCTTTCCGCCGACTCGTGAAGCCCCAAAATGGAGTATGCCAAATGGGTTCAGGGTGATACAGCAAAAAGGGCTTGCCAAAGACTACCCTCCCATATCCCTGTGGCTCAAAAAACCGGAATTCCAAAATGGAACCCTGGGTGGAAACATGGACCAACACCTGCGGTTTGCCCCTCCAATCGTTTAATTTTGAGAACCAAACCCCATATAAAGAAGGAGACTCCCTATGGGGATCAACGCCTTGTGATCCCACAACTCTGCCTAAGTTGGTCCTCCAGATTTGAGAGCTTAGAATCAGTTGGTACCGTGTACCCTTTTTTCTGTAGCCCGCTGAAAAGCAGAAACAAAAAACCCTCCCCCAAAAAAGTTGGTATCCCTACAAATGGTTGCCTTGTGGCTTCGAGTTCGAGTTCGAGGCCTGCAGGAGGGTCTCCCCGATCGTCTTCGCCACGCACTTGAAGATGTCGAAGGCCCCAGCGCCGCTGGTCCTGAGCTCATGGGGGTCGACTCATTCTCAAAGCCCGCGATTGCAACCTACCCGGCTCTAACCATTTTGCGATTGGGATGTCAAACCCTAAAGAAGTACCCGAAATAGTGGATTTGTAAGTAGATCGGTTCTAACTAGGGTTGCAAATGAAGGACAGGGCTTGAGTTGGGCTCCGATTGAAGGTTCTGGGCAGTTCTGGGAGAAACCAAGGGCTGCTGGATTGGTCGCGGACGGTTCAGGCTTCTTGGGTAGCATTTGTTGGATAGACTTCTTGGTTCCGGGTTCTAGGCTCTTCCGCTGGAGATTTGCTTTGGATGGTATGGAGCAGGGTTGTAGCCGCCCCGCTCCACGTGGGTTGGGGATGCAACTGGGCCATTTTGGGGCGAAGGCTGGGGTTGAATCCCACAACTGGCGCGCCCGCAAGAGCTGGCCTCGTCTGAACACCCCGCCGCCCCCCCCGCCCCCCGGCCCGCTTTTCCCTAGAAAAAAAATCTAAAATCGTTCGGTGGTTAAGTGGCGGGAAGTTGAACCTGGAACGCGTCTTTCGGGATTTCCAACTCTTCCGGCCAAAGGCATACATACCGCACATGAGCATACCCCCCAAATCAGCAACTAGTTCATGAAAATACAATCTTTCTCGGTGCAGGCGTCATGCAATTCACCAGGTTCCGACCCATAGCCACCATGGCAGCGATGGGAGCCGGATAGGCCACCTGGGAACGTGCCGCAGTTTGGCAGATAGGGTTCCCAAACGCGGAGTTCCAAAATCAGTGACCGTTTTGGATGGTGGAAGCCAAAAGGGCCGAAACTTGCTACGCTAGATCTGATGCTTAGTTAAGCAATGCACTTTGGAGTTTCATTCCACAGTTCATGCTTACGCTTTAATATATATATATATATATATGTAAAGATACAGTTCACCCAAATTGGTCAGGAAACTGGGGATTCATACTATTAGCTACTGCCTTTAGTACAGGGCCCCTCTTCTCTTTGCCCGGTGCCACCTTTCACCAGCGCTCCGATGCCGGGACCTGCTGAAGTTGCTTACCAGAAACGGGGGAAATGATTCGAGTTTCTTCGGGAGCAATCTCCCAGGCCAAGGAAATGTTTGGCCGGTGATCAAGCGGGGCAACGGGCTTTGAATCATTCTGTCACTCCCAAACCGATCCCAAACAGCAAGTCATCCGACAAAAGCTGCCTTCTGGAACATGTGTATGGACCTGCCTGAACAAGAATAACAAGCGTTTGTTACTTTCGGTCCGCAGCGTAGGAACAGCACAGGCATCCTTTGATTGGACCCATTTTGGGCGCCAGCCAGAAAATCTTGAGGACCAATTGGCCAAAGATGATGCCTGAAAAAACACATTCTGATTGTTGTCGGGACAGAAGCAACAGGGCCATAGGGCAGCCAGGCCACAGTCAGCACGCCCCAGTTGAAATCGAAGAGCGTGAGGTGCTGCCCGACCAAGGTGACGCCGCAATTCTGCCTCTCTCGAAAAGCGGCCACGCGCGAGGGAGTGCTTAGATTTGGACCCCCCGGCAGCTGGGTTCTACGGTCGGTCTGCGAAAATCAACTTTGGGTAAATAGGTGCCATGGCTATTGATCGCACCATGGAGGTTGAGGGCTTCCATCGGGCCTTTTGCCCCCAGCGGAACTCTACACGCCAAAGGGTGAGGACACTTTTCCCCGCGTGAAGACAGAAGAAAGCGCCATGACACAGGTGGCTGGTCTTTGTTTGAGCTGCCAACGGTCAGAAAAAAGAATGCCGCTTGCCAAAGACAAATCTTATTTAGCCCTATCATATTTTCAGTTTTCAGGAGCTCCCAGTGCTAGCTGGGAACCATCACACACGCCCCTTCCGCCTTCCGAAGTTGATGCTGATGGACTCATCGGACACGGCCAAGGATGGCCACACCCAATGAGGACATCCCGCGCTGAAGTCGAAGCCGTTGATCAAGACGGACACAGCCTGCACGCTCCACAGGAGTCCCCAAACCCGCTCCAGGTTTGATGGCTAGCGCCCCACCTGACCCCCGACATGGTCGCGCTTACCAGTTCCTTAGATCTTGTCCTAAAACAACAAACCCTTCTCAGTTGGCCAAAACAAATCCAAGCTTGTTTTTGCTTTTGCCACTACACTGGTCTTCCCACCAAACATAAAGCCCAGGAACTCAGGAAGCGAGTTCAGATCCTCACCCGCTCTTGGCCAGACGCAGCTGACAGCAACTTTGCAAGGCAAGTGATGACACGGCTGCACACATCTCCTTGTTTTTGGTAGACAGCTAGACACTACCTTCAGGATTGGGGATCAAGAATGGTTGGGGACGCACCCGTTCCCATAGTCAGTCCGATTTAATTCTGGATGTTTGGTCTTTGGAAAAACCAAGCAACACATCTCCATCACTTTGCCATTTACATTGATTGAGCGGATCTCTGTTTGATTCAACCAGGAATTTGTATTCAGCAACGCCTTGGGTTTCCTATATTCCAATGAAACATCAACTCACATGAAAACTTTCGCCTGGTTCTACCAACCGGGCCCTCGGACTCCGCCGCTGACCCCGCCCCGCCCCCTTTCGCCCCAGTTTCCTTTCGCTCGGATCTGCCTGCTCCACCGTGTTGATGACGGTATTGGCCACAAAAGCCACCTACAGCATTGGCTTCCGGACAGACGCCCCATGGATTGCGGCCTTGTTCTAAACCAACCTCAAACAGGGTACCTGTTTAACACGCACCCAAATAAATGGATCCCCCCCAAAACAGCCTCAGATTGGATGGCTGTAACGGAAAAAAGGGAAGCCAACCTTCCATTTGGTAAAGACCAAGAAGAACAAAAATACACATATTTCCAGTAGTGACAAGTTCCTTTTAAAACCAACAAGGGAAAAAGTATTCTTTTCAGCAAATGGAAACCAACTGGGGGAAACCAGGAAACGGACCGAGCTCCCGAGCTCCCGTTTCACCCGCTCGGATCCGCTCCGCCTTGTCGGCCGCCTGGGTGTAGGCATCTGTAAGGGCGTCTCCGATCAGCCCGGTGCCATCTGTAACGGCGTTCCCCACGTCCTCGTCTCTTCGGACAAAGTGTAAACAAGGGAAGACACCATGCAATCAGAGCTGGCTCAATTTCTTTTTTCACTTTTTTCTTCTTGGTGGGGGGGGGGGGAACAAACCATGCTCCAAGTCTAGCCACAAAATCCCCAGCCCTGGCGTGGAAAAATGGAGTTGGGCCACACCAAGCATCCGTGGCGGTGTCCGCAATGGCATTCCCCGCATCTTCGAAGGCGCCCCCGACGTCGTCCACGACCTTGCGATATTTCATTCCAACTGCTTCATTCCGACTGCTCCAAGGAGACGGGCAAAAAGTGAGGTCTGGCAATGAGGGAAGACCTGTTGAAGTGACCGTTCCGCCCGGGTGATGCTCACTTATTCTGACAGCTGTGCAAACCGGAAAGAAGAAACTCACATGAACAACGGTAAGGATGGGTCGCTCCTTCTCTTTTTGCCCAGCCCTTCACTGGCGCGAGCGGCCTTGTGAACCGTTTCTTGCACTTGCCCAGATCGGTGGCCATCGGGAAAACAGGGGCACCTGTTTTTGGCTCGAACTGTGCCATCACTGCCAGAAACCAAAAACAGGGGCGGCGTTTTCATGACGTTTTCTTTGCATAAATCTTACACAGAGAACAAACAACCACTGTCAGCTAAATGGCCTTCCCAAAGTCATACGGCGCTGAATAAGCACAAAGCTCTGCAAGAGGGGGGGGAGCGCAGACACCAACTTTTCTTTGTGCAACTGACCCGCATGTTCATGATTTCCAAACGCAACCCTGCTAGGCAACGGTACTTGCCCCCGCTTCCCCCAGAAGCACGAAGAAAGTGCTTTCCGCAAGCAAAGGTGGTGAGGCTCTCACTGGAAAGAGATCTTACGAAATCAGGCGAGCAGTGGACTACCAGATTGTTCAGGATTATATAGGTCTTATAACCCCCAAACCAGGTAGGAGATCAATCGCCCTTGCAGTTTCCGAGAATACCTGCGCCGCCCTTGCAATCAACACTCGGAACAACACATGTCAGGTAGTCTATGCCTCAGTCTCAGAAAACCGGCCCACATGATATGTAGGCACCCCAACCGATTAATCACCGAGCATCATCCAACACCAAGAGAGAAGCCCATAATGTCCTTCACGGCCTCTCTCCATTTGCTTAAGTCGAAAACAAATTCCAGTGGAGCTAGATTCCCTGTAAAACCAATAAACAAAAATTCGCCACGCCCCTTTTTTTGGATGGTTTTCAAGGGGAAACCAGGAACACCTCAAAAGGGTTTATGTAAACAACCATAGTTTTCTTGAGCGCATTTCGCGGACCCCTCCCGCACCTTCGCGGATACTGCGCTGTCCAACTCTTGTTGGCCGCTGCCTCCGCGGCTTCGGCTGCGCTGAACCTCGGCATGGCGACCGACCAGACCGGCCGCACCACTTTCCGCTCGAATTGGATGGGACACCACCGACTAGTTGACAGCAGATAAAGGGGGGTTCTTAGAAACCCTGCTGAACTAGGTTGCGCCAGCCTTTTCTGGGGGCGGCCAAGCTTTTCTGAATAGGTGTCTGTTTCTACATGGTCGGAACCTCAAACATGGTGGCTTTCCTAGTGGTTTCTCCTCAAATCGACCTGAAATCGGTGCCCTCAAAAAAAACCCGCGACTCTTAGATGCGAAAACACACATTGCCACACAAACCAGACGCCTATGAAACCAAGTACTACCACCCTGCCAATAGGAATTGGTTTTGAACATGGATGCGAGCGAGGCACCAGGCTTTCCACCAGGCTTTCCTTCGGGCCTTTCGGCGCCTGCTTCTCTGCTGTCCAGTCCTGGAACAGCCCGCGTGCGATCATGGCCCTGGATCCTGGGTATATGATCCGGTCATATGCAACAGATAGGAATATGCACCCAACAATGGCCCCTTGCCTGTCATGTGCTGGCCCTTTCCCGCAAAAGTCGTCCTAGGTAGTGGTTCATCACAGAGCTTCGCACGCTCAGCTTTTGGCCAAGGGCAATCCAGTCACAAAGCTTCCGAAGCATCCGGTGACAAGTGTCGTTTACTTTCATCATCGTAACTTGGCCAGAATGATCCGAGCGCTTGCAAAAGGTTGACTTTTGGAAATGGAAGCCACCCGCAGAGGGGGCAAACAAGTTTGGCAAACGCCTGGGCAATGCTTCCATTTGAATTCATTTGGTTGGAAAAAATGAGAACACATTTCCAGCAGTGATAAATTCCGTTTAAAGCCAACAAGGCTATATAAATAACAAATATTCATTTCAGCAAATGGAAGAATGGTACTTGGTACGGTTACGCTGAATCTCCGGAAGCTCCTGATTTTCGTAGCCCCCCCGCGGAGGCGAGTCCTTGCGATGCTGGCGATGGTGCTTCAGCATGATGTCCTTAGCTTCCGAAAGGGACACTCCAAAATCGGATCAACAGGTGAGGTTTCGCGCCCAAAAGGAATCAATAATCCCTGTTGATTGGTGCCAGGGATGACTTGATTGTGGCCCCTGCGCAAATCTACGCGATCGGATCAGCGAATCCTTGCACGAATCCGCACATACACACTCACACAGAACCAGCACACAGCACCAGGAAGAAGCATGCACAGAACCGCGTGCACACGTGCATGTCTTACCACCCAATGGCTGCATTTTCCCACGTCTCAAACCACCAAGAATCAACCATTTTCACTGGTCCTCCGTTTGAATCCACATTTCAGGACATCCCGCAGACACATCCAGGATTTAGACACACAAACCGACCCACACCCCAGAGAGTCGTAGAAACCCTCTTCAAGTCCCCTCAAACATTTTCGCAACTCGGCCAAAGCTGAAACGAGCATCCTTCAGCACCTCCGGCGTCTTTGCCTTCATCTTTCGCTGATGTTCCTGGTGCATCTCCTGGTGCAAGCGGTTCCGTCCCGGCCCAAGGAAACCAGGCCAAACTACCAGACACTAAAAGGCCAAAAAGCTAAGGGGATGAAGAAGGGTGGCTGATTTCAAAAGAGAAACACTCGGGTCCCACACAGAATCAACACATCGCCGCCTTTGTGCTAAAAACTGAGGTCGCAACATCTTCGACACTGGCTTTTCCCAGATGACAGGGTCAGTCTGGTCAGTTTCAAGGAAAACGTTGGAGGGCGAGCTACCCCTTAAAAAGAAACCTTGATTATGGGTGATCTGGGTTAAGCACCAACCAGGTTGCCGTTCCATTGTGCCCATTTGGGCGGTCCGCTTCTGTTGAAATGCCTCTTTTCTGAAAGAGAATCCAGTCGGATAAACAGGGCAAGCCGAGACTACTCGCACAAGAGGAAACCCATCGTTTTCAAAGCGGGAGATTTTCAAGGGTGCAGTGGTTTCCGCCCAGGAAAAGGGACTTGTCAATGCTTTGTTGGCTGATTTTAACGTGCAACCCAGCAAAGGAACCAAAACGACGACGGGGAAAAAAGGGGGCCCGCTCAAATTCGCAAGTTGGCACCTGATATCAACAAACGCCAGCCCTAAACAACTTGACAACTCGGCTGGTAAGTTTGATAAAGAGGTATTTTGCCCCGGCTTGGGCCTTGTGCCGGGTAGTTGGGCATCGCTTTCGGGAGAGACGCAATTCTTGCAATTTGGTTGAACATTGATGGCGCCAGTTTCGTTCCAATCATTTGCCTGTGGGAGTTTGGGTTCAAAGACCAACCCTCTTATAATATCCTTTTCAGAAGGCAAACAACCTCCAAAACCTCACGACCTACGAAAGGCTTCCACCATCTGGCAACTAAACACTTGAAACACCACCTCCACCACTTCTCAATCACTAGGTCCTTCTGTACAGAGGTTAGAATAAGTTGGTACCGTTCCTTTTTCTCATTGGTCTATTTTAGTAGGGGGTTCCCCCTCCCAACCCAAAAAAGGGGGAGAGAAAGGGCACCTAGCTGGAAACAACTAAACATATTTCCAGTAGTGATGAATTCCTTTTAAAACCAACAAGGGAAAATAAAAAGCACATATTCATTTCAGAAAATGAAGGACAATCTGGCAACTAAGCACTGGACACCCAACCTCAACCATCCGCCTGTCAATGAGTCCCCGCCCGGATCTCCTTGGCCTTGCCGGCAAAGGCCTCCCGGTGCTTGCGGCCCAACTGGGGCTCCTCCATCTCCAGCTCCTGCGGGCCAGACCCAGATGCCAAGTGGTGGGGAATTCATGGCATTCGTTCTTGATAGCTGATTTGATTCTTGATTTTGACTTTTTGACAGTTGATGTTTGACAGTTGATTTTTTATAGTTGATTTTGATAGTTGATTTTGATAGTTGATTTTGATAGTTTGTTTTTGGATTTTGATAGTTGATCCATAACACCCCTCAAACTAAAACAAACACAGGGAACCACAGGGTGGTTCCTGGGATTCTGAATGATTCGCCCTGGCAAGAATGGTTCAGGCAAACTGCACTGAGGCAGCCTGGGCCCCCTCACAGCGCACTTTTACTGAGAACCAGCAAGAAACCTATTGCTCCAGTAAAAGGGGCTAAGCATGTTTTTGGCCTGTGGTGAGTTGAGTTGGCTTTCATTTCCCTGCATGACGAACGATAAGGCCTTGGACAAAGGATTGAACAAATCAAAGGTACGTCCCAAGGCCTCAGGAAAGTGGCCAACAGGACGCAAAAAACAATACGATTCTGGAACTTAGTCTGCCGAAAAGTATCAAAACACTTAAGACTTGAATCGGAGACCCCACCAAAGCCACTCTCTCTCCTGACCCAATTGCTGACCCGGCTCTCTGCTGGTCGGTCGCGCTGGTCGTGCGGGGCTCGCGGGCCTTGTGCCCGTGCTGCGCCAGAGCGGCGTGGTGCTTCTGCTGGGCCTTGAGCTGCTGCAAGGCGGCCTGCTTCTGGTCCAAGCGGTCCTGGCCAAACGCGACCGGCGCGGCGAGGGGAGTTGGGTCTCTTGGGGAGCGCAAGCACTCTGGGTTGATTAGTTGAAAAACTCACTGCTTGGCTGGGTTTGGTCTTTTTTAAAGCACGAAAACAGGTCCAACCCCAAAAAGTGAAGTGTGAAACGGAACTCACCCTGAGGAGAGGGGGTTCGAGGAAGGGACCGGTGCCCATTGGTTTGGACCTGTTTGTGTTTGATTTTGTTCCTCCGTTGAAGGGGTTCATATGGGTTCGTGTCTTTCAAAGGGCAACTAATTCTTTGGAAAGCACCACCACCCCGTTTGTTGAAAACAACCCGACCAAAAAGAAGTAATGCAAACAACATCCGGAAAACAAGGAATGCCCTCCTGAAGTCAATGAAAGTTGGTCTAAGACTCGAAAGG